ATATATATATATATATATATATATATATATATATATATATATATATAATATATATATATATATATATATATATTATATATATATATATATATATATATATATATATATATATATATATATATATATATATATATATATATATATAATATATATATATATATATATATATATATATATATATATATATATATATATATATATATATATATATATATATATATATATATATATATATATATATATATATATATATATATATATATATATATATATATATATATATATATATATATATATATATATATATATATATATATATATATATATATATATATATATATATATATATATATATATATATATATATAATATATATATATATATATATATATATATATATATATATATATATATATATATATATATATATATATATATATATAATATATATATATATATATATATATATATATATATATAAACAACAAAAACATTTCTCACTCTCTTCATCACTCAAAAGCAATAAGCTTTCCCAATCAATAACAAATAATTCAACTAATAGCACAAATATATATAAGAGGTTCCTATAGAGTATTATAGATACCCCTTAGGGTGTTAATAGTTTCCCTTAGTATAACCAACTCCCGATTCCAGTTCTCTTTATTTGCATTTATTTTTATTTTTTTTAACATTTGCATTCTTGCAGGGTTTATTTAAATTTTTTCCTCTTCCTTTAAAAGTTCATAGGATAAATATAAAAGTTCACATGTGACAACCAATGGCGGTTCACGAAAATCGCGCTACAGTGGCACATTATAAAAATAATCTTTTTCACTAGAGGATCAGGTATTCTATTCTCTACACTGTAGTTGCTCTCTCTCTCTCTCTCTCTCTCTCTCTCTCTCTCTCTCTCTCTCTCTCTCTCTCTCTCTCTCTCTCTCTCTCTACTTCGTTTCTCACTTTGCCATCGGATTACCTTCAAGTACACCCCCCTCCTTTTCACCACCACCGGCGAACTAAGAGCTCACGATGCATTGCTGGTTACTGATCTCATTCTAGTCCGGTAAGATCGCCTCCCAAATTCTCAACTATAAGAAAAATACAGTATACTTTCATCTTACAATCTTAGAAGTTTCTATGAGTCAAAGTCTGAAAGTAAACTGTAATAAAATCAATTTTAAAAATTGAAACTATAAATTTAGAATAAGATAACCAAAGAACTCAACTTAAGAATTATTACAAAAGTAGTTGCATGACATATTAATTGCGTCAAGTCTAAATATAAAGCAATAAAGTTAAGAATGATAAAATAAAATAAAAAATTAATTAAAAATCAATTAATTTATAAATTCTTGAATGTTTGAGAATTTTAAAGTAAATCACTAAATTAAATAAATCTGGAACCAAATATGATCTTATATGAGATAATAATGGTCTCTTCCAGCTTAAGTAGAGGTTTTGAGTATGAACCTAACTTTAGATACACAACAATGTTAAATTTCTGGAGAATATCCGATTGAAAATAGTAAAAGAAGTAGAGATGTTCAAATCCAAATCGGTCCAAATAAAAATTGCAAATCGATCTAAAAAGGTTGAAAACCACGACGACGACAACAACAACAACAAATCAGTTGGATTTCTTCATTTTTTTTGTTGTTGTAAAAATCATTTAGTTCATATTGCATTTCAGATATAACTTTCAAAAAATTTTATATTATTTATTATTTACCAATTTGATATGTTGTGTTAATTTATTAGTTTTGTTTGATTTAATCTATTTAATTTTATTATTTCGTTTGTTTCACCATATATCATTCTTATTTTATAATATTAATTTTAAATATTTATGTCAAATTTATTATTTATTAATATTTTATAATAATAATAGTAGTAATAATAATAAACTAATTTATAATACAAATATTCAAAAATTAATTTAAATTAAATCGTATAAATTAAATCAAAATTTTAAAATAATTAGAACTGCAAACAATTTATCTTTAAATATTTCATTTATTTCTATTATAGAAATTATATAACATTGAGATGAAGTTGATAATGTATAGGGTGGAGTTAAGAAATATATTTCAATAATTTTTTATTTTCCAAAACCAGCTTGTTTTTCTAAAAAAAAAATTAAAAATGTTTGAGCTTCAAAGTTTTCAAGGATCTGAGAAATTAAGTTGTCCCTTTCAATTTTGGCGAAATTTCATTTTCGCTCTTAAATTTATTTTGAAAATTATGAAATTTTCAATTGAATATAGAAAATTTCGTTAGTATATCAAAAATTTCAAAAATTTGTCATGGTTGAACGTGTATGTCAGAAACATATCGAAAATTTTGAAATTTTCAATATTGGCTATCGAAAATTTCAAATTTCTCAATGAAGCT